AATTTAAAAATGGTCAATATGGGTGAGGCAAACTATGTTATTGGCATAGAGGTCTTTAGGGATCAGTCTCGAGGATTGCTAGGACTATCTCAGAAAGGATATATTGATTGTGTTTCGGAAAGATTCAATATGCAGTTTTGTTCAGCCGGTGATGCATCCATCATGAAGGGTGATAAATTAAGTGAAAAACAGTGTCCAAGGAATGACTTGGAAATAAAACAAATGAAGGACATTCCATCTACATTAGAGTAGAGAGTTTGATGTATGCCCATACATGTACCAAACCAGATATTAGTTTCGCAGTTAGAATGTTAGGAAGATTCCAAAGTAATCCTAGAATGGAACATTGGAAAGTAGTGAAAAAGGTTATGAGATATCTTCAGAGAATGAAGGGCTATATGCTCACCTATAGGAGATCAGAACAGTTGGAAGTGATTGGATACTCAGACTTAGATTTTGCTGGTTGCCTTGATAGTAGAAAATCTACTTCAAGTTTTGTTTTTCTATTGGCTAGTGGAGCAATTTCATGGAAGAGTGTGAAGCAGTCCACTATTGCTTCATCTACTATGGAGGCTGAGTTTGTGGCATGCTTTGAGGCTACAAATCATATTTTATGGTTGCGAAATTTCATCTCAGGACTTGGTGTTGTTGACTCAATTGCCAAGCCGCTGAAGATATATTATGACAATGCCGTAACAGTTTTCTTCTCTAAGAATGGAAAATACTCCAGTGGTTCCAAACACATAGAAGTAAAGTACTTAGTTGTTAGAGAAAGAGTTCAGAAACAACAAGTGTTAATTGAAAACTTAGCACCTCTCTTATAATTGCTGATCCATTTACAAAGGGATTGACACCAAAGACATACAAAGAGCATGCTATCAGGATAGGTCTTTTAAGCAACCCATGATGTGTATGGTTAATCTTGAGTGCTTTTTTTTATTTGACACTATTTGCGTAATAATAATTTTGTTTCTATTTTCCTGTTTCTAAAAGTGTGTGTACACATTAATTTGAATATTGATAAATAGGAAATGTCTTAACAAGACAAATTACAGGGGTCTTTCAGGCAAATAATTACATATCCCGATAATGGACTGGGTTGGTGAAGGTTATCGATAGTGTGGTGCATAGAAAGAAATATAACGTAAATGTTACATAACCGCTATGACTCACATTGGTGATTTGAAGTAATCACAGTATTATAGTTTCTAATATATCTGAACTTATTGGCTATTATTAAAATTTTGTGATCACGTGTCAAAGTTTTTAGTGTGGAATCCAATGAGTCAAATTTATTTTTAAATTGCATATTTTGAAAAAAAATAAATAAAAAATCATAGTGGCATCATAATCGGCTTAATGGGCCAAGTGGAAGAATGTTGGATTTATTTTTTGGTGTAGCCCAATAACCTACATATCTTTTACATGTTTTATTTTATTTGAACTCCACAACTAGATAAAGCCAATATTTGAGATAAAGTTCAGTAATTAGAATTTTAAATATAGGATAATTACTCTTCTAAGATAAGAAGGAAACCTTGATGGACAGGAATTCTTTTGATAGAATTTATCTGGCCTTTTTCTCTCCTCTATATAAGGATGGGTGACTCCCCTTACATAATATGAGTATTTTTCCATCACTCAAAGTTATATAGTCATCCTAATTAAGAGAGACAGAGAGAAGAAGGTGAGCTAAAAATTCAAGATTCAACTATTAGGTGTATTTTCTCAACTTCTCTAATTCAATGGCTGACAGAGGTATGTTTGTTTTATTTTTGAGATGTATTGAATTCAAGATCTTGTAAAGTTCAATTCCGCATTATTATGGTTACATGTACATTAATTTTTACATTTTTTTCTTCAAAGATGACTATAAAAGAGATTAGATGGGTTCAAGAGCTGAAAATTTTCAATTGGTATGTATGTTCTTACGGTTGATTATGACCTAACTTGTTTGATGTTGGGGTTCAATTCTTCCCCACTCTAGACAGAGAGAGGCGAGGAGGGTACACAGAATGAGAGGGGATGAATTTCAGTGGCGGCAAGAGGAAGAGATGCTTGGAAATTGAGAGGATAGGCGAGCCGGGAGATCATAGAGTGTAGGTTGATTTTTAATGAAGAACACATGGCATCATATGAACAGAGGGACAGAGAATTGGGACAGGAATTCGGGATATCCCAACCGAATGCGAAATTTTGAAGCTGCTATTTTCTGAATTCTAATGCACCAGCAGATTTTGCTACACACACTTCACAGAGATATTTAGGGAACCACTTGTTCAACAACCCTCTTCAACAATACTTTCTATTATTTCTCTATTCCATTTAAATATTCGTTCTTCATTATTTTTTAATTTAAATTGTGAATTGAGGGGGTCTAATAGGGAGTCACATAGGATTCAATTGGAGCTGGTTTTTTGGGTGAATGACTCACTAATTTAGCCAAAGATAGGAAATAAGGGATCTGTTGGAGATGCTCAACAGATATATATAATCTATCTTTTAGCCAAAGTAGAGTCATTCTTCAAAAAACATGCTCCAAGAGGCTCCTTATATCACTCCACGTTTTAGTGAGTATACAAATCACTCAACAAATATAGGGAGGCACTAAGGGTCCCTAAATATTTTAAAACATTTTTTTCCGTCCTCTCTCATCCTCCCAAATCACCAAACAAGTGGGAGAATATTTTAAATTTAAAAAATAAATGAATATTTAAATGGAATAGAGAAAGTATATGGAGTATTGTTAGAGAAGGTAGTTGAAAAAGTGGCTCCCTAAAGTAGGGAATCCACATTTAGCTGAAAATTTTAAGGAAAAATAAGGAGTGTTGTTGGAGATGCTTTTTAAAATTTTTTAAATTTTTAACTTATTGTGCTGATGATAATTTGACACTTACAACTTAATTTGAATCAAATAATGGAGAAAACTTAAAGCATGAATTTTTAACTAAATATAGAAAGAATAAAGCGGTTATCCTTTTCCGCTTCTCCTCTTTCTTTTGCCACTTATGTTCTCTTTTTTTTCTCTCCTTTGATTTTCACCTCTCCCACTTCCTTTCTACATGATTTATGAACACTTGCGTTGTGAGCACCCACTTCTATTAACTACAAGTTGTGCATGTATGGTGTACGTGATCATAACTCAAGTTGATAGATATGGAAAGGATGTGACAGAGAGATATTGAGTGCAGGAAGGGGAGGGAGAGAGAGAATCATGAACTGGTAAATGGGAGTAATTATTGGGTACCTTGTTGGGTATTGCCAAGGTGGTGCCTTTTTTAATGTGATTGGCTCACACAATGGGATCATCACATTTATGTTGGTATTTTGTCTAAAAACAAAGGGGTGCCAAGTGGTGATTGGTGAGAGAGGGGCATCCCATGGCAATACCACATAGTAAGTAGAAGTGTTAGAAAGTTGAGAAAGTGTGACATTCTTGAATTACTAAAGTGTATATTTTAAACTTTTATATCTCTATGTGAAAACAATTGACACGAGACGCTATAATGTGGTAGGTAATGGCTTTTCTCCAGTTGGTGATCCAATTGGAAAGGTACTATTAGGGCTTAGTAGGCTTATCCTTGGTCCACTTTGGTGATCCAAATAGTTCTTAGATCATCCTTGGAAAATATGAGGTTGATTGAAAATCAATATCCCAATGATGGAATCACATTTGTCTTACAAAAATGGATGACAAGTATGATTTTGAGAATAAACCGTCCATTTTTTAGACAAATGTGATATGATCATCTAGCTATCGATGTTCGATCAATATGATTTTTTGCTTGGATGATCTGTTTGGTACAAAATGAGTAGTTGAGTAGTTCACATCACCAAGGTGGGTCCACCAAGACCCAATAGTACCTCTCTAGTTGGATCACCAATTGAAGAGAAGCTGAGTAACCCTTGAATTTTATCAAATTACAATTTAACATTTTCTTTTGTGAAAATAAGTTAAATGGTAATTGTTAAGAATTATGAGATGTGACACCTTGTAGGAAGTATCATATCCAACTCTTGTAGCATTATGAGATAATCCCTGATGCTTTAGTCTTAAGCTATGTTGAAATGTCTAGTTTGAAACGAAGGGCATTTCTGAAATAGGATACATCAGGGGATCATGTACATACATATACTGTTGTCGTTAATATTAGAAGATTAATTTCTGGTCACCATTGTGCAATATCTTCATGAGAACATCTTTAATTGGGATTTGCAGTTGTCTCTGTCTATTTTTATTTGAGGGAATAACTGGGGAGTGGATTATGATTTCCACTTCTGGTTTAGTTTTGGAGTTGAGATTTACTTTTTGGGGTGCTTGGTGATATCAAAAAAAGTTAATGGGGCAATATATAATCGTATGATGGCCAAAAAAAAAAAAAGAAAAGCCATTGACTTCTACACCCCTACTGTGATTGGAAAGAGTATCGGTAAAATGCAGCTGATATTGCTACTTAGGAGGAATCTCAGGCTTCATTATGATCTTCTTTCACAGTACTTGTGATGGACGGATGTAAGAGACAGGTATCAGAACTAAAATGTTCATCCACCAGTTCCAAATCCACTCAACACACCTTACAACTCTATGTGGGTTGCCATGACAAATTATGAGATTACACGAGTTATCATAATTCACTCAATTTGCAAGTTATATGGCAAAATCAGTTACATAAAAAACCTTTGACATTTGTTGTTTATGGTTTGAAGCTATGTTACTTGGAATGTGATCATTCCGGTATGAGGAATATGAACGGGAATGTGATATGCCACTTGGCTTAAATTATGGAACAATAAGGGTAGGTTTGTATGGAGTCATATTATTAGAATTTAAGGATTTTTATGCAAATTTTTTCGAGCATTAAACATCCAAGCATAGTAGTTATTTTTCAAATTAATCACATAAAGAACACATTTTTTTTGGAGCATTATGACTCCTTTGTTTTTTGTGAAAAATTTTGGGGATCGCTTTGGAATGCTAAATTTACCGTTTTGAAATGAAGGTGTATCATATTTTGGATCGTGCTCCAAAATGTAAGGTATTTTTGTTTTCTACTTACTTGCTTAAACACCTTTACATTATTCTTACACATTCGTCCAAAAGATGATATAACCCTTTACTAGCCTTTTTGTGCCCATTCTCAGGTGGTAAGTTCTCAACAGATTGGGACAAGGCCTGGACAAGGTTCAAGAAGCAAGGGAAGAAAACCATATTTTCAGAGTTTAGCCCAAACAAGTATGTCAACAGGAATCCTAGGCCTTCCAATTATCCACTGTCTGAGGAGGTTGATCCGATCAAGGGAGCAGAGAGATCAAACCTCATGTTATGGACTAGTCCTACTTTTACTCTGGGACTAGCCATTGTAATAGTCACATTTCTTATGGTCTACACCATTCTTGCTGCAATCAAGTGAATTCATTCAGTTCGGTCCAAGCAAGCAGGCCTGTGCTGTAAAGATTTGATATTTTTACTAAGGAAATTGTTGAAGAGGGATTTTGTAAGTTATGTTATAGCCACTACATCTGTAAGTAAATACAGCTAATCTACTGGTCTTCATTTCTTTGTTATGTTATATGAATATCATCACCAATGCTCAAGAAAATTGTTTATTTGTAAATATGTGAGGCATGAAATTTGCTATTGATTATTTGTATAACAACCAATTTTTTTAGCTGTTGTGGGGGAAAAGAAATTGATTTTTTTTTTTAGGATTCATGCAGACTGTATGGATAATTTTTTCTCAAATATGTACTGAAAATAGGAGGGAGGATACAAACAAAATCTATTTGGAACTCTGGTGAATGGAGAAATCCTTATCTTTTGAATATAGTTTCTTCACTTTGCCCTTTCAAGGCCAGAACTGTCTTTTCCATTTCTAACTATATATGATATTTTTTTCTCATTACTGAATTTTTTTCTACCAACTCTATATGTTGCACAACTTTTACCTTTTGTGGGCCCATTTCTTCGTCATCAGCCAAGTTCCATTATTTCTCTAAACTTTTTACGTGTTTCTAGGCTAAAAATGTCTATTGAAGACAAAAAAAAAAAAAAAGAAGTAATTTTTCTTGAATTTTTTCCATAAAATTTGTGTTTAGTAGACTTTTTTAAATTTCATCTGTTTTGGGGGTGAAAAAAATTAGGAGACTCTAGTCCAGAAGTAGTAAGAAGTAACAAAAAAATTCAAAAAATCAGTAAACACAAAAAGCAACCTTTCCCATCAATCATTGTATATTAGCCTTACAAATTTGGGGAAATAACTTTTTGTTGCTGTCCCACTGGACAGTTATATCCCCTGTAAATTTCCTCTTCCCAAATTATTTCATCAAGCATTTTGATAGCACTGTTTGTACCATTTATTTGTTTCTGACACAAAAATTAAACCATAAATAACTTTGAGGGAGCACAGTTTTGCTCAGTTGAAACTAGAAAGCTTAATGGGCTGCTGTTCCCATCCGCATCTTCTACATGAATTTATTTTATATATATATATATATGTATATATATACTGTCAGATGTGTGGCCTTTTGTGTTTCCACTAGTTGTGTGTTCTCTTCTACCAGAAGACACCATTGTCTGCTATCCTCCCTTACCAGAGCTATCTGTGTCCTTTTCAGTGGGAACATAATCTTTACAAAGATAGAATCTAATGAAATTAAGAAATTAAAATGGTAAAACATACCATGAACTTGGGCAGAGGAGACTTTGACTTTGCCTTTTAGCTTTTTATTATTTTTTCTATACATCAGAACTGTCAATTTTTTATTTAAAAAATATGTTCACTTTTTGTCTACTTTGCTTAGTTATCTATTGTGGATTAGATAATGAGTTTAATTTTGTTCACTCCTAATAGGTGGGTGAAAATACGCTTCTTTCTGATTGGTTCAAGCAGTAGGGTTCATTACTTCAAGAGTAATGCTACAAAGACTATTTTTACCATAATATCTTATCATCTGATGTGTTAGTCTAGTTGTCAATACTGTATTGGAGGTATACATGAGTGATGAGACCCATTATACCAATGTTGTGTTGACAAGTAAGATGGTAAGCATAATAGGGTATAGAAATATGACAAGTGTAACATTATTTTTGTTTTAAATGGGGTCCACTCCACTGTTTTAAGAGTATTGTTCACTTATCACACAGATGAAAAAAATAATTTTCCTAGATAATTTCCATGTATGTACTTAGTTATGCACGAATAATTCCATTTGACTTCATGAGTATTTTATGTAGGTAAAAACTGGTTTCATGTATCTACTTATTATGCAAGAATAGTGTCCTTGACTCATAGGTATTTTATGTACATAAAAACTGGTTTCATTCCCTATAAAAGCTGTTCTCCACAGAAATTTAGTTGAAAATAAGTTTTAAGATCCTTCAGCCAATCTTATATAACCTACTTCTGAGTGTGAAACCTTGTGAGAGTTGTGACCTAAGCAACTACCAATTGCCTTGCAACTATATATTGACACCTCAATAGACTCTCTCACACCAAAATTAAAATTCTTTTATTTAGGATCTGGACTTGTTTTCTTCTTCTTCTTCTTCTTCTTCTTCTTCTTCTTCTTCTTCTTCCTCTTCTTTGCTTTAACAGGACTTTCAACTTGGTGGGCAATGGCTGTGCTAAGTGGATCTATCAAGCTCCACAAGGCATGCAAAGTAAGGCTTCCTCCAAGGAGAGGCCAGGTGAAGGTTAAGATCATTCGCAGTTTTGTGAAGATGGTAAGCAAAGTCATTTCACAGGCCGTGACTCTGGGAAGAAAAAGAAGCAAGGAAAGTGATAACAGAGGAAGGTAGGCCTTCACAGCCCTATCCGCTCTAATGTCTCATTGAGACAAGAAGCTAGGCAAGCATCATCTCCTCAGTATGACTCCACAATTCACCATCAATCTTGTTCTTGGTCTTTGCTGCTGCATTACTCAGGAATAGCCTGAAGTATTGAGAAAGGTACATGTAAGGGTAGAAACCACACAATTAAATTACAGAAAAGTATCAGGAATGTATACTTAGGGCATTCGATGTTATCAACTGAGTTGACCCTCATCATGCTAACGTGTCCATTTTGATACTTCTATGTGATTTAATTCTGTGTATGTAGACTTCCTCTCTGAAAATATGAACTATAGATCTTCTCTCTCTCTCTCTCTCTCTCTCTCTCTCTCTCTCTCGTGCACATGCATGCACATATTCTAGTCTTCAAGGCTTATTGCTATGGGTATTGCAATACCCAAGTTCTGCTGTAGTTCTTCTATATAGCTTATAAATGCAAATGTACCTTTATCATTATCATCTGTACTAGTTTAGAAGAGTTATTGTCCAAAAAGAAGCCTGCTTCTGGATTTTCCTTTTCTTTCAGTTTTGTGTGGATTGAGCAACAGAATGTTATTATGATCGCATTTGCGTATCAAAAGTTGTTTATCGTGTCATATATCATCACACATCATTGCAATTGGTTTAATGAGTCTCATAACTCGTTTCTATTACTAATACAGTGTCGATACATCACCTAATAGACAAACAAAATGCAATATGACAATGTGGTCATCGTAGCATTATTGGTGGATTGAAATGAATATGATTGTGATGTTTTGGTTGGACTTTGGATTGGTGTGTGCACGTGTGGGTAGATGAATCTGTCTTCATCAGTAGTTTTCAAGGACCTCTTTTTCCACACATTGGGTGGGACACCAATAGGTGTTTTAGATTTTTGATGTTGATGACTAGAAGGGGGGAACATGGTTACTAACATGTGGGGGCAATTGGTTTTTGATATTTTTGGTGGTGATTGTGAGGAGTCTGTTCAGATAACTGCTATGTGACTTTTGATCTATTACAGTACATATATTTGATTTTAGTTATGAGTTTTGAGTGATTCTTGAATGATGGTTTGGTCCTCATGACTATTGAATGTGTCTTTTGAGGGGCAGTGGTTGTTTTCATGTACTGCTTTAACTAATGTGGATAAATTATTATTACTATTTAAGTGCAAAGGGAAGTGCTAGTAAATGGAATTTGTCTTTTGCAATTTTTCTACTGTTTTTTTCCATCCCAAAGATAGAAAAACAGAGCAACTCTCCATGTGGCAAAAACTTATAAAAGCCAGCTTATTTATTTATTTGTCTTTTCTAAACTTTTTTCTTTATTTTTTTTTTTAAAAAGAACTTTTAAGCCTGTCTATCTAAAAATTTGAGTTAATTTTGAAAAAGTTTTAATAAAGACAAAAACAAACCAAAATTTATAATTAGAAAAAAAAACTTATAAAATTTGGTTTATTTTTTGTGTTCTATGAACTTAAAAAAATAAAAATAAAAAAGTCCTCCAATACAGATGAATCTAAAAAATAAAGAAGTTTGAGTCAATTTTAAAAGAAAAGTTTAGTAAAGATGAAAATAAGCCGGATTAAAAACAAAACAAAACAAAAAAGACCAACTCGTAAAAAAAGTAAGCGCAAATTCTTACTTTAAGCAAATTTGTATTGGTCCCTCAATTTTTAATTGTAACAACCCTTTATACTTACAATTAAGTTGCATTGTCTCGTATTATTATCTTAAGAAAACATGTGTTAACCCTATATTTATAATAAAATCGCATTGTCAAATTCAATAAGTAATTACATGAATTGGCAAAAAAAAGTCCATGTGACATTTGTAGACAATGCTACATGTTCACCAAATGGATTTTTTTTTGGTTATTGTAACTTGATTATAAATGTTGGGTGTAACAACAATAAAAGGATTATTTATTTATTTTAAATATGTGGTGTCCAAATTATAATTGAATAACTTTATTGTCGTGCTGATGAACCTACAAACAATCACTATTTTAAGAAAGTGTTAATTATTTTATACTATTATCAATAAATAAATTGATTGTTTGCTCCATCATTAAATTAATCTAAAGCTCAAATTACTCATCAATTCATCCATTTTACTTCCTTTTCTCACACTCTGTGGATGCTTGAGAGATAAAAGCACTAATGGTCCTTGTTAATGTGCAAGATTACATGTTCTTGAGACAATGAGCAACACTTCATCAATCATGTGTCGGTGATTATATATAATAATAATAATAATTAAAAAAAAAAATTGCACTCTTAGGCTATGCTTGAATTTTGAGATGAAAATATCTGATACTAATCATTCAAAGAGAACAACTCAAATTTAAATTTGATAGTTTAGATATGAATTTCGAGTTTAAATTTGAGACTTTTTGTCAAGATAGATTTACAATATAAATATAAAAATAAGTATTTGAAATTTTTCATGCTAAAGGTTTTAATTTTGCAAGGATCCTAACAAAATACATCTCTTCTATCTCTAATTTACTTTCGTATTTAGTTTTTCAAATTCACCTATAATAGTTTAATCTGTTATATTTATTAAAATTTAATCTCAAATTTTCTTTATTTAAATCCATCCCATTCAAACGAAACCTTAGAGCATCTCCACTAGCCCTTCAGAAATTCATATGCTAAATTCTTTTGAAAATTTAGGTGGCAAATTGACATATGTAAATTTCACATCTCTAAAAGAATGTATTTCACCTTATAGACCAAATTTATTATTATTTTACTTTAATTTTAAAAAAAAAGAAACACCAAAGAAAGGACAAAATTAATGGAGATTTGAAACAGATCATTAAAATAATAAAAAGAATCAAAATTAACAT